ACGTGAAGGCCGAATTTAAAATTTTTGGTTTGGAGGTGGACAAGAATCATTTTGGTGAAGTTCTAGGCTTCTTGCTTGAGTGATCCCCAAAATCGCTCTCCTGCCAAAGAGTTTTTCATGTATCTGTACATGAAAGCCACGTGAAAGTGAGTAATTATTTTGCTGTGGGAATCTGTACACAATTGTAGTTTAAATTGCCAAAGTTCTAACTTTGTAGTTTTTGTAGATCTTGAGATAAAAATTGGTACAGACGCCCACACAGACACATTCACACATAATACACTGAGTGATCCCTCGACAATATGCGGTTTTGCATTGCACAGATGCAAAAAACGCATAAAAAACCAGCAACATTTGAAAAATAAAGTTTAATTATCCCCTGTTGTTATTTCATCATCCATGCTCCAAATATGTAAATATCACTGAAAAGTAAAAGTGTCACAAAATTGACGCTTTAATTAAACATCACAAATGATTTCAAGCGCTAATGACTTCTCAAATGACTTTTTGTAAAAAATATAGCTTTGCATCCAGTACTTTTTATTTGTTACACATATGCATGAAAGAGTACTAAACAGAGAATGTTGGAGAAGTTGCTAGCTGCATTAATGGGGTGAAAAAAAGCGACAATAAAAGATCCAGCCGGCTAGAGCATTATAGCGAGTATTGCGTTATGCGCGTGAAAGCGTTATTTTTTGTTAAATATTTTGTAATTTCGTTCACTTTTTTGCAGATAATGGGATGAAATTCCGTATTTATGAATAACTAGCTCTTGAAATAGTCGAATTCGAGTGATGGGTAACAGTTATACGCACTTGGCAACGCAGGATCCATCGGACTTGGTATCAGAGACCGATTCATCTTTGCTGCAGCGCTGGGCTGCAAGACTTACATCTACTGATCGTGCATCCTACGTCAAAATGTTTGTTTTTTTTTTTATGTTGGGCTTTGAGGATAAGTCCTGTGCAATACCTAATCTTTTAGTAAAAAGAGTAAAAAATGTATTATGTAAAGTAAGCAGTGATAAGTGAAACATGTAAATCTAAAAAAAAGCATGTTGTATAGTGCTATCACAGATACTTTTCATTACTGAGGAGTGGTAGCAGTTCCGTGTTCCAAACAAGTTGCGTGCTTTCTTTCATGTCTGATTTCTAAGTTGAAAAATCCTCCATGTGTTCGTAAGTGAGATATGATTGTATTTGAGAGCTGAGTTCAAATTTGTGACGTTGCACACCTTCTAAAATTTCAGCTTCCTAGATTTTCTCGTTCTTGATTTGAAAATCCTGGACAAAAATCCGAACAAGGTTGCCTGCGTT